CTCTGCTGTTTGCGGACGATGTTGTCCTGTTGGCTCCAACAAACTAGGACCTACAACATGCACTGGGACGGTTTGCAGCCGAGTGTGAAGCGGCTGGGATGAGAATCAGCACCTCCAAATCTGAGGCCATGGTGCTCGACCGGAAAAAGGTGCCTTGCCCTCTACAGGTAGGTGGAGAGGTCCTTCCTCAAGTGGAGGAGTTCAAGTATCTCGGGGTCTTGTTCACAAGTGAGGGAAGGATGGAGCGTGAGATTGACAGGCGGATCGGTGCAGCGTGCGCAGTGATGCGGTCGCTGTATCGGACCGTCGTGGTGAAGAGGGAGCTGAGCCGAAAGGCAAAGGTCTCGATTTACCGGTCAATCTTCGTTCCCTCCCTCACCTATGGTCATGAGCTTTGGGTAGTGACCGAAAGAACGAGATCGCGGATACAAGCGGTCGAAATGAGCTTCCTCTGCAGAGTGGCTGGGCGCTCCCTTAGAGATAGGGTGAGGAGCTCGGTCACACGGGAGGAGCTCGGAGTAGAGCCGCTGCTACTCCACGTCGAGAGGAACCAGTTGAAGTGGCTCGGGCATCTGTTGCGGATGCCTCCTGGACGCCTCCCTGGGGAGGTGTTCCGGGCATGTCCCACTGGGAGGAGGCCCCGGGGAAGACCTAGGACACGCTGGAGGGACTATGTCTCTCAGCTGGCCTGGGAACGCCTTGGGGTCCCCCCGGACGAGCTGGAGGAAGTGTGTGTGGATAGGGAAGCAAAACAGAGGAGAGAAGATAGAATCCTGAGAGATACAATCAAAGAACTCAGAGAAGGAATTCTCGAGAAGAAGAGAGAAAATAAATCAAATAAACGAGAGAAGATGATCAAACGAAGAAGAAATATCAGGAATAATGAAAATCCTTTGATGCAGGTTTAAACTATGAAGATATCGACTGAAGGAACAAGGCTGCAGTCTTTCCTGCAGCCTTCAAAGCGGCTGTGGTGAGACCCCTTCTGAAGAAGAGCAATTTAGATTTTAATGATTTTAACAACTACAGACCGGTATCCAACTTACCATTTTTAAGCAACAATTTTGAAAAACTTGTTTTTACCCAGCTCAATGCCTTTTTAGATCAGCAGCAAATTTTAGAAATATTTCAATCAGGTTTTAGGGTGAACCACAGCACAGAGACTGCTCTTTTAAAGATTTTAAACGATTTTAGACTAAGTTATGATTTTAAAAAGGTGACTGTGTTGGTTCTACTGGATCTTAGCGCTGCCTTCGACACAGTAGACCACACCATTCTTTTATCACGCCTACAACACCTCGGCCTCTCTGGTGCTGTCCACAAATGGTTCACTTCTTATTTAACAGACAGATCCTTCATGGTAAGTTTGGATACCTGCTCCTCTCAGGTCCATAAAATCACATGTGGTGTGCCCCAGGGTTCCATTTTAGGTCCAGTCCTTTTTAACCTGTACATGCTCCCTCTTGGCGGTGTCGTCAGGAGGCATGGAATTAACTTCCACAGTTATGCAGATGATACACAGCTGTACATCTCCATGTCTCCTGACGACACCAGGCCAATGGATGCTCTTTTTAACTGCATTTTAGACCTGAAATCCTGGATGGCAGAAAACTTTCTCCAGCTTAACCAGGACAAAACTGAGATTTTAGTCATCGGTCCTGAGGCCTAGAGAGAGAAACTTATCAAAACTCCAATCACGCTCTTTTAATCCATCATCACAAGTGAAAAATCTGGGCGTAATCTTTGACTCTGAGCTGACTTTTATTCCTCACATCAAGAGTATCACAAAAATAGGTTTTTATCATCTAAAGAACATCGCCAGAGTCCGCCCCATTCTCTCTCGGGCCAACACGGAGACGCTGATGCATGCTTTTATCACCAGTCGCATTGACTACTGTAATGCCCTGTTCTCTGGTCTTCCCAAAAAGAATATTGCAAGTCTTCAATTACTCCAAAACTCGGCCGCACGTGTCCTGACTAAGACCAGGGGGCGGGACCACATTACACCGGTTTTAAAATCGCTGCATTGGCTCCCCGTGTGTTTCAGGATCGATTTTAAGGTTCTTTTAATGGTTTTTAGATGTCTTAATGGTCTCGGGCCTTCTTATCTTTCAGAACTGCTTTTATCCTATGAACCTTCCCAGCCCCTGCGCTCCTCCGGCAGCAGACTCCTAACCATCTCCAAAGTCAGGACACACACTCACGGCGAGGCATCTTTCCAGCACTACGGCCCCCGTCTCTGGAACAGTCTGCCGGAGGAGCTCAGGGCCGCAGAGAACGTTCATATTTTTAAAAGTAGGCTCAAGACACACTTTTTTAGATTAGCTTTTGATTCGTTTTTATTATTCCATTCTATTTATCTTTTATTATTTATTATTTATTATATTGCTATTGCTATTATTCATGTATTGTGTGTTCCTGTTAGTCTCACATTTTAGTGTTTTACTTATTGTATTGTTTTTAGTGTACCCAGTGTTCCTCTGGAGGAGCCCTCTGCACTGGGAGCAGTGGTCGGTGTGGCTGCGGGGGTCGGACTCTTGGGCCTGGTGGGGGCCTGGGGCCTCGGTTTCATGTCTCCTCTGGGTCCTGTGTCGTCCCCTGTGGCTACGGGCGGCTCTCTGCTCCTGGTGCAGACGGCTCCTTGGATGACGCTTTTTCAGCTGGTTGCATCTGAACCCTGCCAAGTCTCTCATCATGGTTTTATTGTTTTACTGGTGTGTGTGTGTGTGTGTGTGTGTGTATGAGTGTTCATGAGCGCGTGTGTGTGTTTGTCTGTGGTTTGGGGTGGGTCTGTTGGGTGGTCTGGGGGAGGGGTCTTGGGTCGGCGGGATTGTTTTTAACCAAACTGTAAAGCACTTTGTGTTGCATCTTTTGTATGAAAAGCGCTTTATAAATAAAATGTGATTGATTGATTGATTGATAAATCATGGCCTCAAACTGAGGGAAACAGAGAATCCAGACAAGGTCCTTCAGGACCTTCAGTTGGAAACATGTTTCCAACGCTCTACTGCAGACTGTACCTACAGTATTTACAGTACTTTACTGTATCACATGTACTGTTTTGCAAGTTGGCTATTGCTCCTTTTGAAAAAAATTTAGTTTTGTGAAACATACAAGACAGTAAAGTACATAAAACTAAACCTATAGTAACAATTTGTGGTTTCATATTTATACAAAATGACTAAATGAACATCTGGAGGTGGTCGGCAACTGTTCACCAACAACAGGAACTTGCCTTTGTGGAAATAGACCATGAACCATGATCCATAATCCACACACACACAATTGCTTAGTTTTACATTAGAGTTTTTTTGTTTTACTGCATTGACACAAATGCGGTAAAGTGTAGGGTGAGAAAATGTCGATATCACACATAACTTAAGTTATGTACCTGATATCGGAGAATTGGATAAAAACAACCATGTAATAAATACAATAATTGATAATAGCTTTATTTAGGGGCACCAGGGAATAACTCCCAACTGATAACGTGCATATGACGTCACAATATCAATTAATTGGCTCATTTATTGATTAAGTAATCTCATGAGTCCTTTCATTATTTAATTAGCTAATTAGTCCAATTCTCTTCAATAGAATCTGAAGGTAGTGAATTCTTTTACAAATCAGTGACCCAATTTCTGGAGTTAAAAGTACAAATATCACTTTCAGACAAAGATGGTTTTGTAGATTTAATGAAGTATACACAATACAGACTAGCCTGTATTGTGAATAGCAGTCCTTGGGTCTTGATGGTGTTAGATGGAGGCTTCTTGTCCCCAGGGCCTGGACCATGCGGCTGCATCATGTGGTCCTCCCACGATCCACAGTCTAGGTGCCAAAACTCAGCAACTTCTTCAGGTTGAAGCTGGAGGCTATTGAAGGGTTATGGAAGTCTTCTCAAACGTGGAGCTGAGGTTTGAGGTCATCTAAGAGGCCCAAAGCCCCTTGGTTGCCTGAGCAGAGCCCAGGGCAGAGCCCAGGGAGGTCTGGTCACTCCGTGGTTCCAAAGCAGACTGGTTTGTCTTCCCTGTGGGTCCTTGTAAGTCTTCACATCTTGTAGAGTCGTTGGGGGAAGGGTGTTGCCATGGCACTTATCTTAAGACATTCTTACCCACAATAAAACCTGAACCACAAGGATTTACACACAGTGGAGACAGAAGTTATAATATGTCTCAATATACAACAAAATGTCTTTGATTGAGGAAAGAGGTCATTTTAATTTATCCTACAAAAGTATACCGTAGTAGTGTGATATACAGTATACAGTAGTACTGTGATGTAAAGTATACAGTAATACTGTGATGTACCGTATTTACTGTAGTACTGTGATGTACAGTATATACTGTAGTACTGTACTGTACAGTATACTGTAATGCTGTACTGTAAAGTATACTGTAGTACTGTACTGTATTGAGTTATTTGTAACCTTTCAGTACTACTGAGAACCAAAACAGTTCAATTGAGCTTCACAGAAAACTGACTGATGAACAGAAAAAAAACAGTGAAAATGACTGTAGTGTTTTATATAAAGTACTGTAGTGTGTTGCTTCCAATCTGAAAGTGTGTTCACGTGATGCAAGTGTGTGTCATTTTGTCCTCAGAGTTTCATTTTGACGAATTATTGTTTAATTTTGAGAGCAGAGTTTGAGTTTTGATAAAGGAGTTTCATTTTGACCCAGATGTGTTTGGTTTATGTCCCAGTGTTGTGTCAGGTCATCGTGTGTGTAGAGTTTTGTGACTATGAGCGAAATTTTGCAAACTGTGTTCAAGCAACAGGAAAAAACTGTAAGTTCGGTACCGCAGCTTTAATAGATGCAGTTTGTCATTACAGCTTTAAACATTAGAGGGCGCTGTGAGGCCGTCAGCCGCAGAAGAAGAGCACAGGAACAGGAACAGGAACAGGAGCTGTGTCAGGACCATGGATTTGTTGTATTAACCAGGACCAGGACCTCGGTGTAACCCTGGTCCCACACAGGGGCCTGGTCCCGGGCAGAGACATGAGCGTTCGGGGCCTGTACCTCCCGCTGCTGTCCCTCCCGCTGCTGGCCTGGGGTCTGGGTGTGTGTTTACTTTCACTTTCGCGTAGCTTCTGATTTCTATGTATTCTTCAAGAATTCTTGTATAGCCCTAAATCACAATTGTAGTTATCTCGTAAGACTTTACAAAGTTGTCGATTCGCCATCACAGATCAGAGAATCAAACAATGAAACAGCTATTTGTCCAATAGGGACTGAGACTAATGTCCAGAAATTTTGTTGAAATTGAATGTCTCTTTGCGTCACAATAAGAGTCTGTCGCAGTGATACAGACAGGATTTTAAAGACCTTATGACGGGTTTTTAAAAAAAAAATAGTGGATATCAAAATTGCATGACAATGTCAATTTGAAAGAGATTCCGGCAAAAAAAATCCTATATTTTATAAAAAGAACGTGTTTTTCATGAATTTAAGTTGTCTATGCTCTAACCTGTGTGTGACGTCACAGCGGGTAACGCCCATGCATTGAAAACCATGGATCTATGCCACAGGACTGCCTTTTCTCTCTTCTCTCCACTGATGCCCAACACAATACTGCACTCTACAGGTGACAATTGCTCACTACACATAAATTGCCGTTTTGAGTGTGAAAAAGTGTCCGAGGTGGGATTTGAACCCAAGTATCTGGATTGACAGTCCATCAACACAACCACTGGACTATCTCAGTGACAACGAAATGTGACATTCTAGTAGTTATCTCATACTCGCTGTACACGGCCTTGTCATCTTGAATATCCGCGAAAAAAGAACGAATACCAAATTGTAAACAACTTACAGCGTTGAAACGTACCCACTCTGACGTCACCAAGGGCTGTGAAGTTTTTTCGTTTCTAAGGGCGTTGCTATGGGGTTATTTCGATTTGGGGGGATCAGACAAAAAAAACAACAACTGATTTTGAAACCTTTAGTAGTTCTCTTCTAATATAAAATGGTATTAAAACTGTATTTCTAAATAAATCAAACCCGTCATAAGGTCTTTAAATACAGTTAAGAACTTTCTAAACCACAGACTCTAATCAACAGACTCTAATCGACAGACTCTAATCGACAGACTCTAAACGACAGACTCTAAACCACAGACTCTAAACCACAGACTCTAAACCACAGACTCTCAACGACACTCTAAACTAGAAGAACCTCCCGCCTTGGGGGAGAACAAAGAACTGTATGAATAAAGTTCACGATGAATGTCAATTAAAGAACCAAACCCATTAGCACTAGGTCAGGTCAGAAGTCAGAAGTCAGAAGTCAGGGGTCAGAGGTCAGGGGTCAGGAGGCTTCATAACAGTAGTCTGTCTGTGCAGGTTTGCTGGTTCCTCCTCCTCACGATGTGACTGTCAGAGCCGTGAACACCAACTACTGCCTGGTCTGGAACTGGACGGGGCCAGAAGGACATGAGGTCTCCTTCACTACACAGTACATCGGGTCAGTGCCCTGGGGCTCCTGGGGTGGGCTCTCCTGGGGGCTCTCCTGGAGTGGGCTCTCCTGGGCTGGGGTCTCCTACAACAATGATTTAGTTATTTATCATTTAGTTAAAATACACATGGGTCTGGATCTCTGAAGCAATCAGACATTTTCTGTGTCGGGGGGCGGAGACATGAGCAGCTCTCGTCCAATCACAACTGAGTAGCAGTCGAAGGCGGAAACCTCGACGACCCAGTCCACACACCCAACATCTGGCTCTTGGGACGTGGAACGTCACCTCACTGGGGGGGAACGAGCCCGAGCTTGTGGGGGAGGTTGAGCGATACCGACTAGAGATAGCCGGCCTCACCTCCACACACAGCTTGGGCTCTGGAACCCAACTCCTTGAGAGGGGTTGGACGCTCCACTTTTCTGGTGTTTCCCGCGGGGAGAGGCGGCGAGCTGGGGTGGCCATACTCATTGCCCGCCATCTCAGCCGCCACGTGTTGGAGTTCTCCCCGGTGAATGAGAGGGTCGCGTCCCTCCGCCTCCGGGTGGGGGACAAGTCTCTCACTGTTGTGACGGCCTACGGGCCTAACGGTAGTGCAGAGTACCCGGCCTTCTTGGAGTCCTTGGGAGGGGTACTGGACAGTGCACCGCCCGGGGACTCCATTATTCTCCTGGGGGACTTCAACGCCCATGTGGGAAATGCCAGTGACACTTGGAGAGGGGTGATCGGGAAGAACGCCCCCCCTGATCTGAACCCGAGCTGTGTTCAGTTGTTGGACTTCTGTGCCAGTCACGGCCTGTCCATCACGAACACCATGTTCGAGCACAAGGGTGTCCATCAGTGCACGTGGCACCAGGACACCCTAGGCCGGAGGTCGATGATCGACTTTGTTTTCGTATCATCTGACCTTCGACCGCGTGTCTCGGACACTCGGGTGAAGAGAGGGGCGGAGCTGTCAACCGATCATTACCTGGTCGTGAGTTGGATCCGCTGGCAGGGCAGGAGGCCGGTCAGACCTGGCAGGCCCAAGCGTGTAGTGAGGGTTTGCTGGGAACGTCTTGCTGAGCCCCCTGTCAGACGGACTTTCAACTCACACCTCCGGGAGAGCTTCTCCCAGGTCCCGGCAGAGGAGGGGGACATCGAGTCCGAGTGGACCATGTTCTCTTCCTCTATCGCCAATGCGGCGGCTCGTAGCTGTGGTCGCAAGGTCTCTGGTGCTGGTCCCGGCGGCAATCCCCGAACCCGGTGGTGGACACCGGCAGTAAGGGATGCCGTCAGGCTGAAGAAGGAGTCCTATCGAGCAATGATGGTTCGTGGGACTCCTGAGGCAGCTGTCCAGTACCGGCAGGCCAAACGTGCCGCGGCCCGGGCTGTTGCAGAGGCAAAAACCCGGGACTGGGAGGAGTTTGGAGAGTCCATGGAGCATGACTATCGGTCGGCCTCGAAGAGGTTCTGGCAAACCGTCCGGCGCCTCAGGAGGGGGAAGCAGTTCTTTGCCGACACCGTGTATGGTGCGGGTGGAGGGCTGCTGACCTCGACTGGGGATATTGTCGGGCGGTGGAAGGAATACTTCGAGGTTCTCCTCAATCCCCCCGTCACGTCCTCCGTCCAGGAGGCAGAGGCTGAGGATGTTGGGGCGGATACTTCCATCTCCCTGGCCGAGGTCACCAAGGTGGTTGGCAGCCTCCATGGTGGTAAGGCGCCGGGAGTGGATGAGATTCGTCCTGACTATCTAAAGTCTCTGGATGTTGTAGGACTGTCTTGGCTGACACGTCTCTGCAGCATCGCGTGGCGATCGGGGGCGGTGCCAATGGAGTGGCAGACCGGGGTGGTGGTCCCTCTCTACAAGAAGGGGGACCGGAGGGTGTGTTCCAATTATCGTGGGATCACACTCCTCAGCCTCCCCGGTAAGGTCTACTCCAAGGTACTGGAGAGGAGGCTACGTCCGATGGTTGAATCTCGGATTCAGGAGGAGCAGTGTGGTTTTCGTCCGGGTCGAGGAACACTGGACCAGCTCTATACTCTCCATCGGATACTCGAGGGTTCATGGGAGTTCGCCCAACCTGTCCACATGTGCTTTGTGGATTTGGAGAAGGCGTTCGAGGACCAGGACCTGCAGCATGCACTGGGACGGTTTGCAGCCGAGCGCGAAGCGGCTGGGATGAGAATCAGCACCTCCAAATCCGAGGCCATGGTGCTCGACCGGAAAAAGGTGCCTTGCCCTCTCCAGGTGGGTGGGGAAGTCCTTCCTCAAGTGGAGGAGTTCAAGTATCTCGGGGTCTTGTTCACGAGTGAGGGAAGGATTGAGCGTGAGATTGACAGGCGGATCGGTGCAGCGTGCGCAGTGATGCGGTCGCTGTATCGGACCGTTGTGGTAAAGAGGGAGCTGAGCCGAAAGGCGAAGTTCTCGATTTACCGGTCAATCTTCGTTCCCTCCCTCACCTATGGTCATGAGCTGTGGGTAATGACCGAAAGAACGAGATCGCGGATACAAGCGGTCGAAATGAGCTTCCTCCGCAGAGTGGCTGGGCGCTCCCTTAGAGATAGGGTGAGGAGCACGGTCACACGGGAGGAGCTCGGAGTAGAGCCGCTGCTTCTCCACGTCGAGAGGAACCAGTTGAGGTGGCTCGGGCATCTGTTCAGGATGCCCCCTTCCTGGGGAGGTGTTCCGGGCACGTCCCACCGGGAGGAGGCCCCGGGGAAGACCCAGGACACGCTGGAGAGACTATGTCTCTCAGCTGGCCTGGGAACGCCTTGGGGTCCCCCCGGACGAGCTGGAGGAGGTGTGTGTGGATAGGGAAGTCTGGGCGTCTCTGCTTAGACTGCTGCCCCCGCGACCCGGCAACGGATAAAGCGGAAGAAAATAGATGGATGGATAGATTCAGAACATAGCACTTTATCACAAGAATTCTTACGCTAGATTTCTCATCTTCTGTCAGCGTGCCCCAGGGCAGCTGTGGCTACAGCAATAGTTTATCACCACTGTGTATGTAATGAAAGAATAACAACATGTGAAGCGCTATATAAAACGAATGCATTATTATTATTAACCCCAGAGCACAGGGCCTTCTCTGTGGTCTTAAACCCAGATTGTAAATGTGCCAAATAAATAAAGTGGGATTGGATTAAACCTGTTTTGCTGCTTGTGTTGTAGAAACAGTTTAAGTGACGACTCAGGCGTGGACTCGGGCGTGGACTCGGGCGTGGACTCGGGCGTGGACTCGGGCGTGGACTCGGGCCGTGTTCTGCTCACGGCTCAGGAGCTCTGAGACCCGGACCTGTCAGACTTTCCAGATCAAACTTTAAAGCCCTCGGCAGCTGCACAGACCTCGTCCTCAGCCACGGCGATCCAAGATGGCGATGTATTCAAATCAATGGCTTGTGCTCAGAGGCGAAAGATTAGCGGCGCAGTGGACATCCTCCCATGATGCTTTGCGCCAAATACTAAGGAGCATGTGTGTGCCTCTCAGGCAAGTTCTGACCAATCAGAGCTGCTGATCAGAGCCAAGCCAGAGCGGGAGGAAAACCAGGAGAATATGTTGCACTAAAGTGTGGATTTATTGAAAACCGAAGGATTTAACAAGAACAAAAAATCAGGATGACAAGGGACAGTAACATCCCCTCAAAATCCTCCTTTATGAAAGCTGTAGGTTTTCTGTCAGGTTCTCTGTCAGCTGAGGGTGAGCTGTTTTAGTTTACATTGAGTTCTATATGAAAATGTTTGTAGCTCACATGAATTTTGTCTTTTGTCTGCAGCACCACGGGAAGCCCATGAGCACATGGGTCCTTCAGCTCTATGCTAGTAATACCCTATCCAGTTATTATAGATCCATGCTGTCTGTAGAATCCTCCAAAGGCTCCTCAGGGTCCTGAAGAGCACCAACCCTGACCCTACAGAAGGACAGGATCTCGCTGACTTCGGGATTTGGCGTCTGCTGGATGTTTTTGATGATGGGAGGACCCAGCGCGCAGGTGGAAGTCACACAGACACAGGTAGAACATGCAAACTCCAAAGAGAAAAGACCGGAATCACAGACCTGACACCGTGAGGCCCGAGTGCTCCCATCCGTTTGTGCCTTTGGTCCAGGAGCCTCAGAACCCTGGTCCCTCTCTGTTTCACACTTTACCACTAGCTGTTTCGAATAATTTTTTGGTTTTTTGTGGGACATTTGTTGTTTTCCAGTGTTTTTCTCTCATGTGTTTACTCCAACATCATTTACTCGCTACGATAACATGACGCCATCTCTGTGTGGAGTGAGAGGACAAGTGCCCAAAAATAACAATTGTAAACTGCTTTGTGACTCTGGTCTGTGAAAAGCGGTATATAAATAAACATTACTTACTTACTTAGAAAATGTTTGTGGCTTGTGTGATGAGTTCAGAGGACTTCCGCGGTCTTCTTGTAGCCCTCTGGTCTCTCTATGGACTCTCTTTGGTCTCTCTCTGGTTTCTTTCTAGTCTTTCTCTGGTCTCATGCTGGTCTCCCTCTGGTCCCTCTCTTGTCTCTCTCTGGTCCCTCTCTGGTCTCTCTTGTTGTGAGTTCAGGAGGTAAAAATAGTGTTAAATTGTGATGTTTTTACAGCCTTAAAACAAACAACTGCTTCTAAGGAGTTACCTTTTTGTGCAGTATCCTTAGAACACATCACCCCTGTCATAAACACATGTTTAGTGTTAAACTTTAAAGCTGGGGTACCTAACTTTCCAAGCATCAAAGAGTTTTGATCTAATCTTGATCGTAATAAACTCAGCACAAACATCACTTTATTAAACTAAATCAAACGTCATTCATTCTAATCTAATCATCAAAACTTACTCAAACTTGAGCCAAGAGGAAAAAGTCTGGTCTCTGGTCTGAAGACTGGTCCCGGTCTCTCTCTGGTCTCAGGACTCTGTTGTATGAATCTATGTTTGTTTTTATTATAAATATATTTTTGGTAACTAAGTGCATTGTCTGTGTTTTGTACAGTCTGTCAATAAATACAATAAAACTGCTCTTTCTGCTGTTGCTATGGAAATAAACGACTGGTATCCAGGGGCTTCTCTTCTCTTCAGGTTTAATTTGAATTGGCGCCACCTGCAGGTGAAACCCAGATCCCGTCAGAGCTCTGAGGCTGTGCAGGGCAGGGCCTGGTTAGTACTGGGATGGGAGACCTGGGAACACCAGGTTGCGGGTTTAAAGTGCCAAACTGTGGTTGTGTCCTTAGGCAAGGCACTTCCCCCACATTAGAATGAGTCTTGTGCTAATGGTTAGTGGTGGTGGGAGGGGCTGATGGCACAGACTGGATGCCTAACTTCTGTCAGTGTGCCCTTAAAGTGATAGTCTGGAACTCTAAATTAACTCATTGACAATAGTAACGTTGTCTTCCATTGACGTGTTAACACGTCAATTGCGTGTCCCGCTATTTTTACGTTCCCAGATGTCTATTGTATCTAATATGTATGGGGATGGCTTGAGACCATATTTTATCTAGCCAGCAGGGGGCAGCATTTCTCTATGAATGGTTTGAAAGCAGTTAGGTGCACATGTGGTGCCTCTTTTTTTTCTCAGCTTTCTGGTGATTTCAGTAAAACTTCCCTCTACTCAACTGGGGATTACAGGGGAACGAAACAAGCTAGAAACAATTTTTTTTGCTGATGAAAGTAGACAGTCCATTCTTTCAGAATCTGGTATTGGATTTCAGATAGTCATAGTACACAATATTCTGTGGGTCTTGAAAAATCTGTAAAAATCATCAGAAATGGCTGGCAATATGGGAGTACCTGTTCTGAAATAGGCTGGCAGTCAATGAGTTAATTACAAATTTTAAGAATTTTATTAAATTGACCTGGCCTTTGTTGTAGAATTAAAATGTTGTATACTAATGATTTTCAGAACAGCGTGTCTCTCTTATCGGGACTAACTCAACACACCTTGTTTCCTCTTCTTATCTTGCAGACCAGAGTGCAGGAAATAGTCAATGATCTCTGACTTTTATCTGGGGGCCGAGGGAGTTCTGCATTCTTGGCTAGACCCTGCTAATCCACACATTTGTTGATATGATAATACACATAACCTTTCTTAACATATATTTACTTTATATTTTTGGTGATTTCATGTACTAACACTTTGATACTATGTTGTTAGTGTGATTTGAGGGTTTTGTACTCTATAGGTTTATTCTTGTTTGGAGAAGGAGAATTGATGTCAGACTAGTGACAGCAGCCTTGAGAGTTCTTCCTTATCTCAAGGAAGTAATACATCTATAGGTTGGAAGTGTGAATCCCTTTTTTTAGGTCTGGAATGGAGAGATACGGAGGGGAAACAGACAAAGGCCGGACCCGGGACCGAGAACTGGCTGATGCACACGCCCCTTCTACACATTATTACTTATATGCTTTTGCTTGATGTTTTAACTCAGTCCGAGCAGGGATAGATAGAGAAAATCTATCCCTGAAAATGCTGAAAAATTGCTGAAAATGTGCAGGGAACATGCAGGCATGCTCCCTGCACATTTTCAGCACAGGGATACTTAGAATGGCTTGGCTCACAGGGAATTAAGAGCTCCAAGAGTTTTGTATCAACATTTAATTGTAAAGAGAAATAAATGTTCTATTTTAACTCTTGTATTCTTGATCTTATTTCTGTATCAAACTTTGAACACGTCAGTCAAATCTTTTTTGACAACAAATGGTGACCCCAACGTGATTTGATACAGAAAGAGGACGCAAGATGAGCTCAGATAGAGAAACTGGGTCTGTGGGTCTGGAGACTCTCTGCTCTGCAAAACAGTCGCTTCTAAAAGGTAAGCAGATCATATTTTTGAAAATCTGCACATTGTTTTTTTAGTAGAAGAGAGAGAGGTCTCAGCCCAGCATGACTGCAGGTGTGGACCGACCCGCCGTGACGGGCGTTTTATCGGACGCGATAAAACAATAGTCAGGTTTTGACGTTTTAGCCTTGAGGGAAGAATGGGTCCCCTCTAAAAAAAAAGAGAAAAGAGAAAAGAAAGTCCACAAGGGTTTTAGAAGTGCAAAAGAGGCACACCGTTTTAAAGTGCAGAGAGGCACAAGTGTTTAGTGAAAATAGAAATAGAATTAGAAATAGGGACAGCTATAGGGTCAGAAGTTACAGGATAATAAAACCTTCCATATCCCCCGGGGGGCGGGAAAAAGGGTACATTTAATTTAAACAAAAAAGCCAAGTATTTAAACTGTTGGATTCTGACTATTGAATAAGAATGATCTGATTAATCAGGATCAGAGAGCCACTTGGCTGTAGATGCGAGTTTCATGTGGAGAAATGACAAAAGGATCGGTTCTGGGAGTTCTCTTGTCTTGTAATGTTTTAATAGTTACAGAGGTACTACTATTAAAAAAATTGATCCTGCTGTAACTAGTAATACATTATTCATGTAATCAAATTGTAATGTTTTCCATTACTGACGTATTTAATGATAAGACAGATAGTGTAAAGTGTCGTTTGACGTGAGAAAACTCTCACCACTGATTAAAACATTGTCACGATAAAAAACGAGAAAAATGTAGCAAATTTTAAAGGGGATGTTCATGAATTTGGTGTATTTCAGTCGTACATGTTCTCCTCTGTTTGAGAAGCCACACAGCCCCTCCCCTCTGCTCTTCTCCCTCTCTCCGTTAAGAAAGATGCATACCAAATATATTTTTTGTAGAAAATTACATTTACACACAGGATAATGTTACTGTCATAGAGTCATATGATCACAGAACTTTGAGTTAGATTGTAAAGAGGCATTATTTTTTGGCCATTTCCAAGGCGTCTAGACAAGTTATTAAACATTCTTTCCCAACATTTTGGTGATATAAAATTTAAAATGATCTTAAAGAGCATTATACTTTTGAAAAAATAGGGCTTAGGATAGCAGTTGAATGCAAATTCGGTTTTCAGAATTTAATGTTTAAAATGTTAATATTAATTATTTTATAGGTTCATATTTCATCATTGGTTTTGTATTGTATTAACACACTTGTTTGTGTTTCTTGTTTGTCTGTTTTTTTCTGAGAAAACTTCTGTCTGTTTCATTGGCCGATTGCCAAAATCGTCCCCGCCACAAACCACAACTGAGCGCCACCAAAACGGACCATCAGCGTCTTCCCCGACCCACAGGGGGCCACCAACAACAGCAGTATCGGCTGCAGCAGCTAACAAGAACTTTCGAAGAAGACTTCTCCAGCCTCCATTTCTATTGAAGCATCATTGCGGCAAAGAAAAGGCCACAGACTTTTGCACAAACTGAGTGAAGTTATGTGCACA